CCATGACATTAGTTAGTACAGGAAAAGAGCTTTCCGTAGACACATAGATCACGTCATTCGAACGTCGGATGGAGAATTGGGGCGAGTCGAAAGTTTCTCGATTCTGTTATCATTTTGACAGCAGAACCAATGAAAAATTTGTGGAACACACCGTGGCGCATGGTGCCAGAGCCATAGTGCGTGGCATAGAGAGCAACATATTACTGCCTAGAGTGCGTCTGCCATGGCGCATTGCTCTGTATTTTAGTACATAATTTGTTTTCAACCATTTTCGACTTCTTTCACTCCTCTGAGGTATCCCATGCTTCTGAAACTTGTTTTTTACTCTGATATGAAAGGTTTTGATCAATTTTTAACCTACTTCTAATTAGAAAACTTGGGATCCTTTTGTTTTTAGATTAAAACTAGTAATTACTCTTTGGAGCTAATCCCTCAATTACCATGTGCTTTATTTGCTAAGTGTGTTTAGTGGAGTGAGAATGTTGTATACACACCAGGATCGTCCATATGATGAGATTGCCATAGCCATTCACATGTGAGAAGCTACCTAGTTAAGGTTGCTTAACTCACTTATGGGTCACAATTTCCTGCAAAATCTCACACAGTGGAGTGTCGTTCTCCCTAAACTAGCTTTCTTGTCAAACAAATAAAAAATTAGTTAAGTTTGAGTCCCTCTTAAAACAAGTGGGATAGTTCCTTGTTGAACAAGTGTGGTAATAAATTAAATAAACCTAGGTAAGCCATCAAGCTCCAATGGTAGCCTTACCATGTGGATTTTAAATGCACTACTCCTTTTCTTAGGTGAACTCTTACCTCTCATGATCATGCTATGCTAAAAATGCAATAACTCATGGCATGAAAATACTCAATATACAAGCATGAATAGTATCATCATTGTACTCAAGTCATAAATGAATATCACATAAACACATATAAACAAGTCATTGAACTCCATTTCACTTTGCATTGTTGAACTCCTCACTATACACATTCATTGAACTCCATATAATCATATCTTTGAACTCTACACAATCATATCATTAAACTCCACACGATCATGTTATTGAACTCTATAAAACTATATTATTAAACTCCACAAAATCATATCGCTGAACTCCACAAAATTATATCATTGAACTCTACAAAACCATAATATTTGATTTTCAAATATTTTATGCCACACTTGCATTTTAAATAATTTTACACACTTCAATTACAATATATAAATAAATAAATCAATTAACAAATAAAAGCACAATAGAAATTTTCCTTAGTTACCTCAAACCTTTGATAGGTCAAAGGTTTGTCTCTCAAATACACACTTCCAAAGCTTTCACAAAGTTTGAATAGTGCCAAGTTGTGATGACTCTACATTTATTCTATCACACCCAGGGTACTAAGAATGTGATCAGCATTAGAATATGAGATAAACTCACATTCTTTAAGCCTTAATTAACCAGAGATTAAGCTAATATAGAAATAAATAGTTTATACTAATCAATGAGTTTATGATATAAATATATATAGATACACACACACACACACACACACTCTCTCTCTCTCTCTCTCTCTCATATATTTATAAAGCTTGTAAGGTCTTAAATATTTTGTAGAAATTTTAGTAGAATCTCTCCTATAATTTAGACCTTCCAAAAAATTTCTACAATCAATAAACCTGTTAGCCAATCTAGGAAGGAGCTTAGCTCCATACCAGCAGACTTAACAATAATAAAGACTAGGATCTAATTATAGTATATGTGGAGCATTAAGTTGTAATTTGTATTATATAATATATATTTGCATCAATAAAATAACTAACACATGCTTCCATTATTCCAAAAAGTAATAGAGCTCTTTATTGATCAGCTAGAAGTACAGGTTCAGCTATAATATCTGAAACTAAAAAAATTTTTCAGTAAGTAGCACCCCAATCCAAATTATAGATAAAACTTGTAAAAGTAGCAATTAATAAAATTTAGTTTAAAATAAATCAATGTAATATTAAAATACATATTTTAACTAACAATAAATGAAAAGTTTCTCAACAATATGACTGTAAAATAAACCAATAATTTTAAAATGTTATAGGCTATCAAGAATCATACAACTAATAAAAATATACAAAAAGAATTCGAATAATGATATAGTCAAGAAAAAATGTTTATAAATAACTAATATAAAACAATAAATTTTCAAATCTAATCTAGGAGGAAATTTACCATATAAAATCATATACAATTAAACAACAATTTTTTTAATAAAATAAATTTAAAAATAATAATATTTGAAAATTTTACATTTTAGTAGGACTTAATTAGAACGATTAATAACCGTAGACACATAGTTTATAAGGGTCAGTAATCAACAAGCATGTATACATGGTCCACGAGGGTAAGTCACTGATAAGTACAGCTTAAAGCCATGAAATAATTAAGCATGGCTAAAAGCCATGAAACAAGCATAGGCACAAAGCCTACGAAACAAGCGTGAGCATGAGCTCACGAATATTCATCCCTCCATTCCACTTGTATAGGCCTGCGTATAAGGCTAACACCTCTTATCAAAGCATCGTATTAGTTAGGTGTATCATGATGTATTAAGGGCTAATGGAATTCAATCTCCTTAATCAAAATCAAGCATGTATGGATCTAAACATCCACTTTAAAATCATTCTTTTAAAAATATAAGTTTCCACTATTAACTTCCCTTTCTAACATTTTTTTCCATGCACGAATCATCTTATTAATAGATTTTAAATCAAATAAAAATTTAAACAATAGGATTATTTTGAATAAATAATCGATTTATTACATATTGAATTCAATAGCATGACTGCTTGATAAAATAGAATAATTTCATTAATAACCCAATTGAATAAAAATAAGATCGATAAAATAAGATAAATAAAGAGGACTATATAAATTGTAAAGAAAATAATAACAAAGACTTTAAATAAGGTATTAAATAAAGATATTTTAAGAAAATTTAATTGGGATGCACTCACACACTTGAGGAATTATCAAGAATTGTAAAGCTTGCTTCTCTTAACTTTTCACTTTAATTCTAATAATGTCCTTAATTTTTTAACAAATAAATTATAATCTTAAAATCATTTATCAAGTAATTTTCAAGTCAGATCTAGAAATGAGCACTTTAATTCTAAACTAACCACCATGCCATTATGTTCAAATATAATTTGTTACAGCTTTCTCATCTACAATATAAACTTTCAACCCAAAATATAAATTTCTCTTTCATTGTCAATAAACTCAAGTTTAAGTATATCAACTAATTAACCTTACCATTCTCTTAAGCATTTAAACAACCTCTTGGGAGAATTCCTATTTGCTCACTATAAAACAAATTTCCATCCATTTCAACTTTTTATCCTCATCATTTAATTCCTAAATCAAACTTCTATACACTGCTATAGCATTATTAAGATTATAAAACATCACAATTACTCATACACAGCCAATAATTTTCTAATCAAATTAACAACTTAACCATAGCCCAACAAGAGCAAGAGAAAACCACGCTATTCATTTATGCCTTCTTAATGCTTAATGAACCACCAGAGAGCAATATTTAATTTGATATTATCCATTTTAGGTACCCCAAGATCCCAACCAATAATTCCAACTTATTACTTCTCTATGTAATTGCACATATAGCTTTCCAAGTGGTATCCCATAATTCTTCTAGACACTAATATAAAAAAATTAAACAACCTTGTTTCTAACAAATCCTTCTATGTAATTAGACACATAGCTTTCCAAGTGGTATAGAGAAGGGAGTTTTGTGCTTTGATGACTTGTGCATCATGACATATGGCACAAAGCCCTTTTCCTTTATTTTTCCCACTTTTTGATGTTTAGATGACCTGACTTTGCCTTGGATCCAATTCTAAGGCTGATCACAACCTAAAACATATGTTAACTCTCTGTAATCACATACCATATTAATATACTTAATTAATCTCACTTGCTCAGCCATTTAGGGGTTAAATTCTCTAGAATGTTATAATTCTTCCATTCTTTTAAGAATTTTGTCCTTAAAATTCATATGACTACTATTACATACCTCACTGAAATAGTTGAGGATATAATTGCTTCATTTTCTTTTAGTCTCCCACATAGCGTCTTTAAGAGTCATTCCCTTTCATATCACCTTAACTAGGCAAATGGTCTTATTCCTTAGCTACTTCTCATTCACATAAGCTATTCTCTATAATTCAGCTTAGTAAGTTAAATTCTCCCATAGCTCTAATTTTCAAGTTTGAAGATATGAGATAGATCAGGTTAGTACTTTTTGGGTTGAGAGACGAGAAATGCAACATGTATGCTTGCAAAATGAGGTGGAAATGCAATCTAATAAGCAAGTGTCCTAATCCTTTCCAAGACTTTAAAGGGACCAATGAAATGTAGAGTCAACTTCTTAGTTTGAATTGATCTCTCAATGCTTGTCATTGGGGTGACGTTCAAGAAAACATAGTTTCCAATCATAAATTCTAATGGCCTCCTATACTTATCAGCATAGCTTTTCTATTGACTCTAAGTAATCAGCAGCTTTTACCTAATCATCTCTATTTTTTGGATATATTTTAAGTAGTTTGATCTATTAAAGTAAGACTTAAAATACTTATCTCATTTAACTCAATTCAGCAAAGTGGCGATTGGTATTTCTTACCATATAACACTTCATAAAGAGCCACCTAGAAACTTGAATGGAAGTTATTATTATAGGCAAACTCAGCCAATGGTAGGTACTTATCCTAACTAGCACTCTACTTGATAGCACATGCTCAGAGCATATTCTCAAGTCTTTAATCAGTTCTCTCTGTTTGGCCATTCATTTGGAGATGATAAGCAGTACTAAATTTCAATTTCATTTAGGGAAGATAGGTAGTACTGAAATCACAATCAAAAACATTTGTTAACTCTCTATAACTATATATCGCATTAATTTACTTAATTAATCTCATTTATTCATTTAATTAGGTGTTAAATTCTCTAGGATGTTACATGAAATCCAACAAGATTGAAGAAGATGAAGAATACTCAAAGATTAGAGGTAAATCTTCAATATCTACAAAGGTCATCGATGATGACGATGATGATGAAGACCAAGATTGAAGTTAAAAGAGGAGATCGGTGCAGGTAATGATGTCTTTAGGCTTTATCATCATGCTCTGGATCTGGGTCGTGGCTTCATTATCATCCTCTAAAACTAAGCACACAATTATTTTCATCTAGAAACTATATCATTTTAGAAGAGAGCATCATTAGATCATATAGATATTGCCTTTAGGACCTCATTCAAAAAATTAAAACCTCTTACTAATGAAATGGCTAGTTAATGGCATAGAAGAGTTAGAGATAATGGCAATGGTGAGTGACAAAGGTGAAGGCAATGGTTGCAGATTATGAAGGGTAAAAGAGATAAAAGGTTAAATTCTAGACAATTTGTCCCAATTCAACAAGGAGGAGGATGAAATCCAATTCTTCCTTTTTTTTCCTTAGAATTAGGATTCTTAATCTTGATTAATGTGTACCAAATGTCATTCTATTTAGATTTCCACCATAATTCCTTTTCCATAGTTAGGATTCTATACTACCAAATAAGGTCTAAGTTTCTCAATTATCAACTCTGTCTATATATATATATATATATGTATATATATAATTCCATCTTATACTATAGCATACTTAGCTTGTACATATAGAAAGCTAAGCCCTCTAAAATGATGTTCCATTTTGCACAAACTAGTTCTGCTTTTCGTAGCAGTACTTGTCTTCTTCCTTCATTATTACCTCTATAAATAATGTTATGGAAACCCTTTCTTCATAGATTGGCCTCTATTAGACATGCTACCACTACTTTTTTGTAATTATTACCTTCAGGCTTTGCAAAGGCAAGCAGGCACTCAAAGCTTTATTAGACCTTGGTTCACTCAAATGAACTATGTGTTTACTTATGACCCTATGAACATACACTATATATTGAGAAAGAATTTCATCAACTATATTAAGGGGCCTAACTTTAGAAAGATTTTCACAGCTTTTGGAGATGGAATTTTGACTTCAGATTTAGACATGTGGAAAATCCAGAGGATAATTCTCCATTCATTATTTTAAACTAGAAGGTTTAAGAAGTTTAGGGAGAATATGGTTTGAGAAAAGGTAGAGACCTGTCTCATTCCTCTTCTAGATTATATGGAAAGAAAATGGGTTGAAGTGGATCTACAAGACATGTTTAATCTCTTTAATTTTGACACTATCTGCTCCATAGTCTTAAGTTTTGATCCAAAAACACTAATACTTGATTTTTGAGAAGTTGCATGCATGAGATCCTCTAAGTTGGTGTGAGAGTTTATATTCTACAAACACATAATACCTAAAAGCATTTGGAAGCTTTAAAGATGGCATAGAATTGAAGCAGTAAATAAGAGGGCTGAAGCATTAAAAATATGTTTGACCAATTCCTTCTTGAATGTATAGCATCTAAGAGAGAAAAATTAAGTTGAAAAAATGAAGTACATACAAAAAAGGATGACTTGCTAACAACTCTTATGAGGGATGAACTAAGAAAAGAATATATAGATGATAATTTTCTAAGAGACACTACTTTTACTCCTTTTGTTGTAGGTAGAAATACTGTAACTTCAACTTAAACATGGTTTTTTTGGTTTGTTGCCACACACCCTATTGTAGAAGCTAAGATTCTTCAAGAAATTAAAGAAAAAAGGGAAGTGAAATATCAAGTATATCTCTATGGACCATGGAGCTTCGTGTGAAGCTTTGAGATTATATCTTCCCTTACTTGTTATGTGTAGGCAAGCAATCAAGTACAACATTCTTCCTAGTAGACATGAAGTCGATCCTAATACAGTGATAATGATATCTTTGTATGCAATGGAAAGATGTCTCAGAGAGAAGTGGAGTAGTTTACATGCCATAATACAAGTTTATAAATTTCACTATAGGACCTATGACTTGCTTGGGTAAGTACTTGTCCTTAATTCATTCAAATGAAGATAATAGCTTTTATTATCATGTGTGACTATCAAGTCCATATGGTAGAAGATCATTCTATTTCTCCCTCACTTTTTATAGTACTACAAATGAGATACGGTCTTAAGGTTTAGATTAGAAAAAAGACATTCATCAATATGAAGGTAGAAGAACATAATTTATTTTGTGTTCTATGTTCGAATTTGCTAATCTTTTTTGTCATGACTTCTTTTCTACTTTGTTAATGTTGTTATGTCTATATTTATTGAATATTTGAATGGACATAATCAAGTCATTGATTGGCTCTTGCATGTACTTACTATTAATTGGCATGATGTTATTGTTGATTAATATAATCTAGGGAGAATAGCACCTAAGGTTGCAAGATAAATGAAATTAGCACCTAAGACCCACTACATTTTGAATTTATTTTGCAGGCCTAAAAACCTTACGTGAAAATATATTTTTTTGGTGAAAAAACTCATTTGCCACTCATTTGAGAAAATAACATCATGCATAGGACATTATATTATTAATATATAGACCTTATTATGTTATATATGCACATTTTGTTATTCATATACTTAAAAAACTTGTACATTATTGTTCAACCAAATCATATAGGCTATGTATTAATGAACATAATGTGTTGTTAATGTATAGATCTTACAAATCTTATCATGTTATATACGGATATTTTATTGTTCATATGCTTGGGAAACTTATACATTATTGTTCAATTAAACGACATAAGCTATGTATTAATGAACAAATTGTATTGTTAATGTATGAACTTTATCATATTATATACGAGCATTCTGTTGTTCATATGAAAACTTATACATTATTATTCAACTAAATCACACAAGCTATATATATATATATATATTAGTGAATGGATATTGTGTTGTTAATGTATGGGCATCGTCACGTTATATATAGACATTATGTTGTTTATACAACTTGGGAACTTGTAGAGGTGGCATTTTACCCATCTGTACTCCCATAACCCATCCAAAAATGGTCAACCCATACCCATTCATTAAGGAAGAAAAATAGGTATGGACAGGTATTTACCCATATGTGAAAAAATGGGTGGGTAACTAGTAAGGCCTCAGGTGGCTCGTATCCGCCTATTTATAGTCACCTTTTTATTAGTCTGAAAACAAAAATACTATCAAAGTTCAAAATTCAAACACCTATCATGTCGTGCTCTAACTCTTTACCCTATTCAATTTCTCCCTTATTCGCCTAAGTCATGCAAGAGACTTCAACTTCACCATTCACCTTTCTCCACACTCTACCTCTACCATCAACCTTAGCTCTAGTGTAACAGATGCATGCTCACATACCTTCTTGTTAGACTATCATCCTCATCTCTAACATAGTAGTCCCTCTACCATTGTAGACACACCAAAATTCATTTAGTCATTCACTATTAGCTTCAGCCTATCTTTAGTTCTTCTTAGGTTATTGCTCCCTCCCTATTGTACTCTTTTCTCTTATACTTTTCTAAAGTTTTGATTTTTGAATTAGTTTGTCTAGAATCATATATCTAAAGATGGATTAATGTTTTCATTTTTCAAGTCTAGAAATATTTTATTCTAGAGTTAATTGTGATTTATGATGATTGCTTTCATATGGATGTGACTCTAATCCAAACACATTATTTTTCAGCTTCCATAGAAGCATGTACGTGTAGCTACATCAGCTTGATCATTGATGTGTTTTCTTGTGAAATATTTGTACCTTTAGAAAGTGTTCGAGGTTTCTATGGGCTCTTTCTCTAAAGCTTTAGAAATAGTTGTAGGATTGATGCTACATATTACATAATGCTTATAATAGGATTGTGAATACCGTATTTTGTCTAGGCATTTTTTTTAAATTTGATAATAAATAATCAAAAAATATAAAAATATAAAAATAAAATTTAATCCTTTTTAGGATTATATTTTAACAAAACCAAAAATTTTTTATTTAAATTTTTGAAAATCTCTCCAAAATTATCTGCTCCATTCAAAATATTAGGAGCTAACTTTTAAGAATCAACTCTTTTTTGAATTTCTTCTTTTAAATTTTGTTACATTCCAAAAAAAGTTATATTTGCTTAATTCAAACTCAGATTTGTTTTCTAATTTTAAAATTAATAAACATAATTTAAAAAAATTTTTATTTTTTTAAAAAAACATATATATAAAAAAAACAAATAATAACCGATGGGTTAAACCTTAACCCATCGGTTTTTCACTCACTCAGTCAGAAGGGCCACACAGACATGGTAGAACAGCAGAATAGAGATGATTGGTCATAGACGTAGAAGGAAAGTAGTTGGAGCAAAATGAAAAAGCAAGAGAAGGAAGGAAATCAAGGCACGCGCACGAGGAGAAGACACAAGAGCAAAAGGAAGACTCAGTCATACAAAGAAGAAAAGCAAAAGAAAGCAAAAGTTATGGCTGATTTAGAGGAACCCAGAGACGAAGAGTGCACACGGCAGAACAAAAACGGTGACTCAGCGGAAGAAAAGGAAAAAGCAAGAGATAGAGACGGTGATCTGAAACTGAAGTGTGTAGCGGTGAGTAATCTCTCTTCCCTTCCTACTCTCTATATAAAGTCTGCTCTAACCGAAAGAAAGGGGAAAAAACAAAGAGAATAAAAAAAAGAGAGAAGAAAGCGATTAGAAGATTGTTGAAGAAGGAACCGAGGATTTGAGATTTTGCTTTTGCCTGGGGAGAGAAGACGAGAAGGATCGAGGAAGAAGGGAATTTTTGAAGGATTGAGGACTGATAGGTTTGAGAATTCTTTCATTTTTTTAGTGATTTAAATTCTCGTTCTGCCTTCTGATTCCACTTCACGTTTTACTCCATGAAATCTGATTTGTGGGGTGTTTGTCTTATTCAAAGTTGTATGGATTGAAAGGCTAAAATCATTTTTCGAACATTTGCTAAGTTTGCTTGTAATAAGCATGATGATCCTGTTCTGTTAGCTAGTTTTACGTGAATCATGTATGTTCATGCGTTGTGTTTAAGATGCTAACAAAAATGTGACACAATAAAGTATGCACACCTAAAATTAGTAAATGTAAGATGCTCAAATCTAATTCCATATCATGAGGTTGAATAGTC